GTGATCACATGTATTCATCAGATGCTACTGCCACCAGCCCTATGGCATGCACCGGCTTCTACTCTGCGGTGGCTCTTTCCCATACTGTCGTTTACATACATTCCTTACAGAAAGTGAGGAGTTTGAAGCCTAAGACAGGTGACACATTATCTGAGTACTGGCGGATTTGGTCTACTTTAGGTGTAAAATTTGTGTCAGGTTTGTCTCCAAATGAAGAAAAAGACTAATTCGTCCATCCATTTCCTGTTATTAGAAATTGATTTTGTACTCAGGATCAAAAAAGTGTACTAGATGCCTGCTGGATGTCATTGAAGTTTAGCTCAGCCGAATTGTCATTATGACATCAGTTAATGGTAGGGTTCTAGGATGGCCTACTTTTAGTCTATATGGTACTAGCATGAGGCTCGATATTTACTCATTACCTCATATGTCTAAACCGTAAGAACTGAAGTTTGACTTTACCTGGTGGAAGGGTTATTGTTGGGAAGGCTCCAGAAGTTTTGACGAGCTGGGGCGATCACCAAGCTGCCCAGCATGAAGGAAATTCCTCGAAAATATGCGCAGCAGTTTCAGTATCCGTTCCCAATGCTGGCAGCATCTCCCTACATTATTCATGAGGTTCCATGTTTTGTCATACCCTGTGAGAAGAGAAGAAGCCATAAAGCAAGAGTTGACCATTGATCATAGTTGACGCCTGACAGACAAGAAGCTCAAGTGCGAATCTCTGCTATCCGATGACGTGACTTCATCGCCTTTTCACTGCAACACTTGTCGACATCCATGAGATAACGAAAGGAACCATCCGCAGCCTGATAACGTAGTAACGGTACGACCTCCAGCTCGACGATCTCCCTCTTATTTCCCAACTTCCTCACTGAGAGTTTGCCGCGCGGTTATGGTTCTTCAGGCGTGGGTCAGTGCCGGGGTAAAACTCGCCATCATCGGAGAATGTATGCGCTGGCGGAGTGGGGTCAGCTTGGCCGGGTCTGCTGTGCCGGTTGGGCGGGGTGGTAGGATTGAAGGGACCGGCCGAAAGACCGGCCGAACCAGGCGTAGAAGAACGTCCGGGAGGGGTGTGTTGAAAGTATTGAGCGTACAGGTTGTAGGTCGAATAGCCAGCAGCAGCTGCTGCTGGATCGACTGGAGAAGAGCGATGATCGTCAGGGCCGTAGCCGGGAGGCCGAGAGCCTAGATTACTGTCAGAACGGAATTTGAGACCGGGATGAGAAGGAGGGATTGGGCCTGCATGAGCCGCATGAGGCGCGCCGTAATGGGAAGGACGGTAGAATGGGTGAGGCGGGTATGGAGGCTGAAGAGGGTGGGTAGGATCGTACCCAGGATAAGGCATACCTTGAGCTGCCGCCATATTTGCAGCCTCAACGGCTTTGGCCTGGTGGTAGGCAAGATCGCCTGCGGTTTGGGGATTAGCGTTATGTTGCGATGAAGATGGTGGGATGGCACCATGTCCATGTGAAGATCCGGGTTGCTGATCGACGTGGCCAAACGGTGGGGGTGGGGCTGGCACGTGAAATCGCGGGGGAATGAAGCCTCTCATGTGAGGAGGAGGAGGATTGAGATGTGCGTATTTGGCTGGCATATGCATATACATACCGTGATCAACTGGAGTACTGGTAGGAGAACTATCGACGCGCGTGGGGGTGAAGGGCTGAGCGGACGGGTTGAGGTTGGCCGTGGAACCCGAGGAAGCGCTGACCTTGCCAGAGCTGGAACGAGACATGTTGATGCTAGGCGTGCTATCTCGAGATGCTATCGCGAGAATGTGACTTTCCTGTTTTGGCAATATTCTGGATCGAGTGTAGCGGCGATGCTTCTTTTTCGGAACTCGGATGCGGCGTTTGATGAGATGGGGCTGTCTGTAGCGATGGAAAACGGAAGGAGCGAGAGTTGCTGTGGGCACTGTACCCTCCATGCTTATACCATCACATCTGTTTGTAGGTTTCGTGAAGCTATTCTCACTTTTTGCGTTTGATTGTGGGATACGATGGAGACCGTTGACTTGTTCTAGAAGAAGTGTGTAGGTAGACAGGAAGCCTAATTCCTGCCTAGGTAGGCGGCCCCAGTTTCATCCGAAGTGTACTACCTGCCTTGTATTTTGTTGTTAATTATTCCTTCGTTTGCTGCCTGGGGAAAAGGGCCTAAATTCTTTGAAATCCCTTCGTTTGAGTCCTCCCCGCTTAGCCTCTGAACCAAAAATCAATGCAAATCTGGTTGGCTGCCCACGATGCATGTATTCTCCTCATACTGCACAAAGAGCAAAAGGGCGGTCTCGACACTTGAAACACCAGTGAAAACCTCTTTAAGATTTACCAAAAGTTCCTCGGACACAGTAGCAGCTTTTGGACTTGGAAAATTGCATGTTGACTACCTTGAAATCTACTTTACCTGCATTGACGACTTCGAAGTTTGCGGCATCATGACAAATGATTGTTGCCTTGCCACGCCAACCGTACAGTTTGTGGGAGTTCCTGCCTACTTTGGTAGCATGTGCTGCCGCAGAAAGCCCATTTCAGATATCGCCTCTGTCTATCTGAAGGCGTATTTGGTGTCGAATATGACACAAATTCTGAGTCTTGATAAGGCATGGGCTTCCGTACAACCTCAAGCTATGCATATATGATTGAAACCCGCTAAGCGTCGTCAGCGATCTGCTACTACACCCCTTTAGTTAGGTGTATACATATGTCAGGCACCGTACCCTGTTCTGGAAGATCTGCAAAAGGCCCTCGGACTTTATTTCAAGCTCTAGGCTCTCCATGTTCAAGTACCGTGAAGGGAAAGATGGGTGCTACATGATTTGCCACATGTTCCGCATCGTATGCAAGCATTGTCAAGTTTGTTCTGTAGCACTGCGGATAGCTCCGAGGCTTATGCACGACACAGACAAACAGCTGCTAGATGCGGCAGGAGGGTAAGACAAGATCAGTTCTTCAAAATGCAAACATGCCGCAAATGACGTTAATTGATGCGAACCCGACAAGTACGCGATCTTCGAGTCCTTTTGCGTGCCAAGTGGGCCAAAATTTTGGTCTCCCCGACCACTGGGCAAAACACCAACTTGATGCTATCTTATACAGCACGTGAAGATCATGGGAAGTCCAAACAAGGTGTGCATGGGCAGGTTAGAGTTGCCAATTCTGATTGAGATCTGATCGCCGACCGATTAACTTCGAGCGGATCCTGCTCCGAAGCCCGACACGTCCTCTGGCATGCCAAGGAACTCTACGCTGACCGGTCCTGCTCCGCCTGATACTCGGACAATGTCGCCGACTTGGCGAATTGAGGCTTTTGCTACAGTTGCAGGCCATACAACCCTTTGACGCGTTATAGAGGAGCAACAGAAACATCCCAGCCACCTTGGGTGAGGAAATGTCCGACATCGGTTTTAGTCGAGACCGGGGGAGCTGACGAAGCGACGTCACAACTAATCCCGCGCGTTCGAAAATGACTCGGAGTAAACGTCACAGGGCTTCCGAAGGCCAGGATCGCAATGAAATTCCGCGGGAAACGGTCCTTGAAGATGCTGACGAAAACTTGACAAAGTGCAGGACAATGTCGTGGGCCAACGAGCCAACAACCGAAGCCCTGCGATGTCTCCCGATCTTGCGCGAGCGCGTGTGAAGCTCTTCAAAAGTTCAAAACACCAGCAACCTTGAGGAATCCAGTCCTGGTCGCCCCGGCCCACCCCCAGCTCCGTGACCCCACTACGGTCGGGCTTCCGATGCAGACGGCGGCAGCGGCTCGGAGGAGATGGCTCGTTGCGGCAACTGCAATGTGATCACCCGCCTTGCGCTGTTTTCGCCTAGTCCAATGTTACCTCTTTCCACGCAATATGGAAGAAGAAAGCGTCCGAAAAGGTTGACAGAAACCGGTTAGGAGCGATACCTGTACGGTTTTACATCAGCATCTGTCATCCACAAGCAGCTTCCCGAAAAGCCGCCAAGTTCTGGTTTTGAACAACTGTGCCTCGCTCACATGTGACATGGACCTGTATGATTTAGGCGCGAAGAAGGGAACCGCGTCTTTGGATGGTTGTATGATGTGCTTCCCGCGTCTTGGCCAACTCTTGGGCCCTCTCTAAGGTCGTTTGGTTGCGTTCGGTTGAGTGACGTGAGGTTGCATCGGCACATAGAGCTTCTCAACAAGGGATAGTTCCGGAACGTCGCAGTGCAAACGGAATCGCCCTGTCCGCGTCTAAATCGTCCCCCACGGTTGCCCGGCCCCATAGGTTGCACCGGGGCCCGGCTCGAAGAGAGAGGCCAGCCAGCGTCAACACCAGCTTTCATGGCTTGGCCCAGTTGCTCCCCACGGATCGCGGGGGCAGAAAATCACACCACTTGAATCCACTCGTAGAGATTGATTAGATTGCGTCGCAGCCATCCTGGAGCCATCTCGATCTGGACTTTCTGGGGGCTGGATCCTCCCTCCACTCACTGATGAAGCCTAGCCCGTCGCCACAGCCTTTTGCGCAAAGACTGGACCTGGGAGAAGGGACAAGAGCAGCTTCGTCGGTCACAAGGCCTCAGCTGGAGAAAGTCTGGAGCCGTTTCTTGTGGTTTCGTTTTCCAAGGACATGATCCTTGAAGCCTCGTCGATCCTCCGAGTCGATCCCGGGCTCCCCGCTGCGCCGCAGAAGGTAATCAGGCCTCAAAACTCGTTGCTCGCGACTGAGTGGACGATCAGTGATCATTGATCAGTGATTAGTGCCTTTATGTCGGTAGCCAGCAGGCGATGAAACGCTGCGTTGCTTTCGTTTGCGGTCTCGTATTCCGGCGGCCAGATGTTCCTAAGCTCGGCCGAGAAGGTAGTTAATCGTGACAACCAAGTTCCACCCCGCCCACCGGCAGTCGAGGGCCCACTCCCCAGGCCGGGCCGTGGGCGTTAGACCGATGTCATTTGTGGACTTGGACTTGTTTGTAAAGATTAACGCGTTAACTTGCAACTAGGTTGAAAGTGCTTGCATGAAGCACCACACCTAGAAGCTAAGTCCCACGAGTTGCGAGGTGGGGCCTTGCAGTACGTTGCAGGACTCTGCCACCTTGGTTGATACACCTTGAAGAGGATGTTATCGATGTTTGGATGTGATGAGATGGATGGATGGATGGATGGAGGGATGTATGCGCGCACGTCGGACCCGACAACTTTCCTGTTTGAGAGCCAGCGGTCAAGTTCACCCGCTGTCCTGACAAGGACATGGTTTCTTTCTTGAGACGGCTGCGAGGTCTTCTCAACGCGGAAGGAGAATTTTGATGTGTCAGTCCGAACCTCTCGATGTAGCTCGGGTGGAGTTCGAAGATGTCTGCTGGCCATCAGTGGGAGGATTCACGCAACAACCCCGGTGGATGACCTTGGGTGTGATGCAACTCAACACGGATGTACGTGATGGTGAGAGATTTTCCCTCTTGCGTCCGGTCCAGGAAGGAGGATGAGCACTTGCGTTGTCAGGGTATTGGGGGTCGAGGTTGTCGAGGGGCTCCAAAGGAGGCTGGCGAAGATATTTAAAGTCTCGAGCGCTCGCCAACATGGTGACGAGTCGACAATCAACAGGAGCATTTACTCCTTCAGATCTATTAGGATTTGGAATAGTCTGGTCTTTATTTGGCTCTCATTTGGAATTTATCCTTGCCAGTTCCCTCCTCCAGTCTATTTTAGTCCCGCAGCCATGCAGAACACTATCGTTCAAAACTCGGCGTTAACTCCGGTTGGGCCAGCCCCTCTATCCTTTACCCAAGGCGAACGAATCAAGTCCACCTATCCCACTGTTACGGCCGCATTCTATCATCATGCAGAGACTCATCCTGATGTCACCGCAGGGCGTGACTTGTCGTCGCAGCAGATTCGTGAGATCACTTACGGTGATCTTGCTACTCGAGCCAACCAGCTCTCAAGGAAACTGACCACACTCGGGGTCAAGCCTGGAGATAGAGTGCCTCTCGTCGTGAAGCGAGGTATTGACATGCTGGTTGGTATAGTTGCGATTCTCTCTTGCGGTGCTCAGTACGTTCCTCTCGACGGCGGTGTGGTTCCAGACTCTACACTACGATTTGTCTTGGAACAGGCGGGCGGCAAGCACGTTTTATGTCTCAAGTCGACAAAGCATCGATTCGACACTCTCGGTGTTCCCTGCGAGATCTTTGTCATTGATGAAGATTCGGAGAAAGATAAGGAGGTTTCGCAATCCTACCCTATCCAGGACCTGGCCCAACCAGACCATGGCTGCTACGTCATCTACACCTCGGGTAAGCGAACATCTCATCGCCCATTTAGATTTGAGAAGACAGTTGAGCTAATTCTCTGGCTCTGTAGGAACTACGGGCACTCCCAAAGGAGTGGATGTCACCCACAAAAATGTGACTAACCTCGTGTGCCTTTCACCTGGTGGCCTGGGTATCTCACCTGGAACGCGGGTGGGTCAGGTGTTGAATATCAGCTTTGATATGGGTAAGTCTTAGTTGCTAATACCCTAATCGCTGATGCTGACTTTGTGGTAGCTGCATGGGAGATGCTGGGATGTCTCTGCAACGGAGGAACTCTCGTCTTGAGAGGCTCAAAGTGGGAGCCATGTCTGAGAGAGGTGAGATAACTAAGACTTAGCATCCAACAACACAAGACTAACATAACCCACAGACTCAAGTCCTAATTTGTACACCAAGCATCTTGGCCAAGTATGATCCTCGGGAGTACACCAACATCAGAGTTGCTGCGACGGCAGGTGAACCCAGCTCTCAAAGGTGAGACTTCCATTGCACTTCTAAAGTGAGTTATGCTGACGATGAGACTGATAGGCTCGCCGACCTCTGGGCCACTCACGCAACCTACTACAACTGCTGTGGACCTACGGAGACTACCATTGTCAACACTATGCATCTTCACCGCCCGGGTGAAGCTCTGACAATCGGAAAGCCTACACCAAACAACACTGTCTACGTCCTTGACGCGCAAGGCAACTCTCTCGGTGTTGGAGAAGCCGGAGTTATGTGGGCCGGTGGCCACGGAATCTCTCGGGGCTATGTCTCTCTGCCCGAGAAGACTGCTGAGAGATACAAGCTGGACCCTTTTGCTAATGACGGGTGAGTATAATCCCTCGTGCTACTCAAAACTACCTGCTGATACTCTTGTAGATCTATGATGTACAACACTGGTGACCTCGGTCGCTGGAGATCGGACGGCTCAATTGACATCCTCGGAAGAGTCGATGACCAGATCAAGATTAAAGTAAGTAGCATCTCCAAACTCATACATTCAAAGAGCTTTCTAACACATCATTTGCAGGGGTTCCGGGTTGAGCTTGACGGAGTTACCTCTTCAATCAGCTCTTGTCCCATCGTCTCAAAGGCCACCGCGTTGTTCATCAGAAATGAGATCCACGGATTTGTCGCACCCAAGGACTGCGATCTCGACACGATACAAGCCCACGTCAGGGCTCGTCAACCTTACTACGCCATCCCCACCAAGTTCCACTTCCTTGATGCCCTTCCTCTGACTGCAAATGGCAAAGTCGACAAGCGTGCACTTCAAGACATGGTCACCGAGACTGGCAATACCGACAAGAAGGAAGTCGCCGATGTCACCATCAGGGAGACCGCCTCAAAGGAGTCCCTGTCTACGGACAGCAACTCCACCACCACGGACCTCAAGGCCGAATCCTCCGCTTCCAGCTTCACCGAGACAGACGAGAAGCTCGACCTCACCGGCGACATCCCCGAAAAGAACCTCGGCCGTCCCTACCGCGGCTTCGTTCACCGGATCGCCATCGTTTACCGCCGTCTCTTCACAATCGTGGGTCTCTTCAACATCGCGGCCGTCATCGCACTCGTCTTTGCCGGGTTCCAGCGCAACTGGCTCAGCACTCTCACAGCCATCAACCTGGTCGTCGCAGTCCTCGCCCGTCAGGACTTTGTCATCAACGCGCTTTACACAATCACCTGCAACGTGCCAAAGTCCTGGCCCCTCGCCATCAGGAAGCGCTGCGCCAGGATTTTCCACTTTGGCGGTGTTCACTCAGGCGCTGCTGTTTCTGCCGGAGCTTGGCTTTTGGCTTCCAACATCAGCGATGAGGTCTGCCAGCTGACAGAGTGCCCTAATTGGGGCCACCAGTCTATGGCTTCAAAGGTCGTGTCTTGGCTTCTTACGGGTTTGTTCACCATCACTATCGGTCTCGCTTGGCCCGGGTTCCGCAAGACCCATCACGACCTCTTCGAGAAGACCCATCGTTTCGTCGGATGGACCATGCTGGGGCTGTTCTGGGTCCAGGTTGTCCTCGGCGCGAACGACAGCAAGGTCGCAGAAATGTCCCTGGGCGACGCATGCATTCGAACTCCCGGCTTCTGGATGCTGGCGGTCGCCACGATGAGCATTGCCTCCTCTTGGTTGTTCCTCAAGAAAGTTCCTGTCGAAGCTGAGGTGCTTTCCGACCACGCAGTGAGACTGCATTTTGACTACACAGTCCCCGTCAACGGCAGCTTCGTCAGACTCTCTCAAAGGCCTCTTCTAGAATGGCACTCGTTCGCCACGATTCCGGCCCCTGAGAAGGTCGAGCATCGCGAGAAGGGTTTCTCTTTGGTTGTTTCCAACGCTGGCGATTGGACCAAAAACTGCATCCAGAAGCCCCCCACCCACATATGGGTTCGTGGTGTCCCGACCTGTGGTGTCATGCGCATCGCGACTTGCTTCAACCGCGTCGTGGTCATTGCCACGGGATCCGGCATTGGGCCTCTTCTTGGCCACATTCAACAGCCAAGCTGCGCGACGCAGTTGATCTGGTCCACACCAAAGCCCGAGCAAACGTTTGGCAAGCCTTTGCTCGACGCCATCAAGAAAAAGATCCCCAACGCAGTGATTCACGACACCAAGATATCGGGTCGTCCGGATCTGGTGAAGATGGGATACAACCTTGTTCAGAGCTTCAACGCCGAAGCTGTCATTATCATTGCGAACGAAAAGATCACGAAGAAGGTTGTTTATGGTCTTGAGACTAGAGGTGTTCCGGCTTACGGCGCTATTTGGGACTCTTGAGCGATTGACTCGTTGGAAGCGCCGGGGGACCTTTTCTTGTCAATTTCATTATTCCTTGGTTTCTAAATGGAGTTTGGCGCTTTCCGCATGATTTTGATTTGTGGTGCGAATCTGGCGACCAACATCTCACATTTTTCTTTCATGATTGTCATCCAAACTGCTAGCTATTAGATAGTGATCTCAGTCCACTCTTTACTTATGATATAGAAAATATCGCCCGTAATTTAGGCATATCGCCATTTGCCTAAGTACCTAAACGTAAGGCGGATACAGCAATGTCACCATAGGCACTGTCATTGACTTTCAGACATGTCAGAGCAGCTCCCTTTCAGAAGATGATACATACCTGTAGTTTACTTGAACTGACTTATTCATTCTGAATCATCATGTGGTGACTCTTCATAGGTGGTTTCTCGTCGTCAAAGTAGACAGACCGCTGATCGCATCCCATCATTCCGATGCAGTTCGATCGTCATATAATGTAAGTATACACTGAGATAATGCTTCGTTCCAGTCTGCGTGGAATACGAAAATGAAATCAAAATTAGATAGGATGGCTGAGTGAAGCTACTCTGTCATCATTAACAACGCGTGGGAGGGGAAATGACTGCAGCCATGGATGGTACAAGGCCCACAACTAGATCGGGGAATTAGTCAGTCACCAATCAATAATGAAGGACCATGGAGAGCCTATTACCAGGTGGCCAAGGCAGACTCGTGCGCTGCGGACAGAATAGAGATGAGCTCTCCAGTCTAGTTTGCCGAGACACCCAGAGGTCTTTGGTCGAGACTCGAGAGGCTGCGATGTCATCGACGCTATCTGTAGATATCTAGGACAACAAAAACAACCTTTACTAGATTAGCTCACTTCCTTGGCAATGGTAATCTATGACTCGCCGAGATTATGCGTGCCTCCAGTCATGTCCGACGACTAACTCCGGACACGAGGTTGCCTTCTCCTGTCCCGTCTTCCCGCCTTGAATCTCATACGCCGGTAGCTTAGAGAGCGGCTGGACTTGCTGGCCCCCTCAGGAATCTTCGAAGCTCCCGAGGTCTGAGCGCTCTGATGACTGGACACACGTGTGCTATTGATTAGATGAATGGCCGATGGTTTACACGGAGCTGCACTTGGCGACAACTCTCTGGCCAGTTGGAGTTGAGGTAATTAAGCACAGCAGCGCAGCAGTCGCTGCAACCTCAACGGGTCGGAGACGTGAAAACATACGATATAATAAGATTAATGATGCGGCCTAAAATATTTCAAGATACGCGTGGTGCATGAATTGAGGGGTAGCGTGCTGGCTTCGATGGCATCGTGCCTAGGTCGTCTTGGCACATATGATACTGCGATTTACGCCAATGATTTACCATTCAGAAAAAGATGCGTCCCTTAAGATTGTATCTTTCTATGACTCCAATACTGCAGAAGCTTTAGTACGTGACCATGGGCCTGAAGCCACACATCTGCGAAACCCCATTTGGAAAGGGTAGATGCTATGTCCTATGTCGGGAGGGAAGGTATTTCTGTTCTTCCATCTGGGGTTCGAACCATATGTCTTGTTCAAAACAGGTTTTGAACTCCGATCACTTGATAAAGAATTGTTTCAAGTGTGGTAACAGTAGCATTGGTATGTACTGGGTGTCGTTGCTCCATTAAGAACCCTAGGCCGCAAGATACACAGGCAATTGCATCATGGAGGCGTATGGAGTTAGGAACCATTGCGTTCGATATTCAACACGGCGCAGAACAAGCCCAATTGCTGCAAGATAGACGACCAGCTTCCCAATAAAGAAGCTCAGTGGAGGTTCGGCAGATATATGCCAAATGCCAAGTAAAATGGTTCCTAAGACAAAGTGACTGGCAAGAGGTTGGCAGATGTGTGTTGCCGAGACTCATGATGCAGAGGCATCATGGATAACCTCGGTGTCTAGTCAAGGGATGTTACTCTCAGCAGCATAGTCGATGTCGTCCCACAGATTCCTGATGCCCTTTGTGCTTGTGTGCAATTCTCGTTCAGATGGTTTGGGGGACAGATGTGCAACATCGCTGCAGCTGGCTGGCCTTGATTTACGTGTTTATCTGTCATTTTAAGAGTGCAACTTCTGCATGAGCGAATGAGAGGCATGAGATTTGAGCCATGGAAGAGCTTTCATGTTCCTTGCTGTTTCTGGCAACGAGCGAATCGGTGGCTAGATGTCGCCTGTCAGCACTCCAGATGGTTAGGGCTTCGTGAGGGCTTCGTGGACGTTTCGCGATGGAGACTAGCAGGTACTCTGGACAAAGCTATGTTAACAGTGAAGATGAAAACATTGACAAGATTGAATGCTTCAGATCCCACGTCGACCTGCTCTATTCGGTTCAACTCCTGCATAGGATTGGTCAAACCAAGAGATAAACACATGCCAAAGATCTGTCACCCGAGGCATCAAGTTGAATCTTTCTGCATCAACGGGAGGAACAAATCTTGGCAGAAACGTGTCAAACGACTATGAGGGGTTGAAAGGTCGTTCGAGCCGCTGTGACCTCGAGACGGTAACTCGGAGGGTAACATAATGTCCCAGAAAGGGGAGGTAAGAGTCATTTCAGTTTTCGATGAACATGTGGGAGAGCTCTTGGGTGAACGATCGATGATATCGACTCCCCAACTTCCAAGTTTGTTGCGGTAGTCGTATTTGATGCCGGAACTTGGCTGCGTCTGCATGCAACCTAGGGCGGCTGCACCATGCGGCATATCGCCTACACCAAGCGCTAAGTCTGCTTCCTCAGGACCCAAAACAACCTCTCAAAACTAGCTCAATGTGACGTAGACGACGGCTAGCTAGTCGATCAAGGACGTTCGTCATTAATACCAAGGGCTGGGCAGCGCAGGGGTGTCTTGAAGCGCTCTAGAAAGTTCAGGTGGCTGAACTTGCACAATCTGCCATCCAAACCAGACTTGCTTCTTTCGGCCCTGATCTGTTCTTCGGCATTCGACAGTCAAACATTGCCCACCTCGGCGTTGCATTGTAGCTTGCAGACTTGAGTTGTATTTCGACACTGAATCGGTAGCACAAGCCCGGGTACGACTAAGACAAGCAACTTTGAGAGTTTATGATACTGATTCGTGCGATTTCGTGCACAATGGAACAGTTACTGACTGCAATGTCCTGACGCAACAGGTCCTCTTTCTCGGAGTCGAATTGCAAGGCGCTCTCGAAAATCTCGCGATCATCGTGCATGCTGCAATTCGGTTTCGCAGAGCTCAGCGTTGTCGAAAGAGCCCTGGGATGGAGACGCGTTGGGGTTTCAAATGACAGTCATCTCAACTCAGCCCGGAATGATTGTCGAGAAGATCGGATAAACGGCCCAAAGAGTTTTTTATAGTATTTGTCAATACAGCCACTCAGAGCAGAGTTGTTGAATTCGTAGTGGTGTTGATGTCGTATTGTGGTTTTCTGTGGTCCCCCCAGCGTGGCAGCGCAAGCTGCATCCTGGTTCCCCACAAAGCACCGCGAAAGCGAGGTGAAAGTCAAGTTAGGCCAGACGTGCCTCAAGTTCAGCTGTCTTAAGTAGTTCAGTCGTCAAACACGGGACGATTGGCCTGTGCTTACTCAAGCATCGACAGTCCGGACGGCGAGAGCGAGTCTCACAAACCCTGGAATGTTAGGTGGCCTCGTTAGAAAACATCTGGACAGCTTAATTATAGTTGCTTCTGTGTGTAAGTGTACGATGGCATCATAGTTGCTCGATTGCTCATACAATAAGTCCGAGTAGTTACAGCACGAACGCCATCGATGGCAAGAATGCGAGAAATAAAGCTGAGACGGAAAAGAAGTGCCGATGGAGAATTCCAGATCCAGAATCAATCAAATATCAATATGTCCGGAAAGACGTGACGGGAGAAAAGAGGGTCACGGACAATTGAGGCATTCTTTTTCCTCCGCAGCTATGGTTAGTTGCGCCGCATCTGATGGGGAAGCGAAGCATTGGTAGGAGCTTGGGACCAATTGACCATGTCCAAGGTCACGCTGGTTCTCGAAACCGAGCTTCCAATCTGTTTTGAGGTAAAGTTTGCCAGATTTTCCATGCTATCAAGGGCCCCTTGATTGGTCTTTGTCGGTATTTACAACCCTAGTGCCGATCTGATGCCCAGTTGTCCCCCACTCTCTGTCGGAATGGGTGACATCGACTGGACGGACGGGTTCACGTAGATTGGATGGGTGGCTTGGCTTCAGATAAAATTCTCCGCTAGTTCACCATAGGGCAGATCGTTGCAAGGCTTGGGGGCGAGGCAGACAGGTGCGAGCAGACAACTGGCAGTGAAACGCCTTGTTGCACTCAGTCACCATCTTTTGCATTCACAAGATAGCAGATCCTTGGGCTGTTCTAGGTTCATCCTAGCCTTGAGGGCCGGATAGAGCCTGCCGGCAGTCGTTCATTGGATCCCCGCCTGTGTCAAAGGCCAAATGCTCCACTCGGGGTTACCCGCGCTGCGTAACGGCGCAGGGGCGTTAATTTGGGTTTGAATCGGTCTCGGTCTCGGTATCGCAGTACAGAGTGGGAGAGTTCCATCGACCGGCTGTGCAACAGTGCAATACACCAAACACGAATGATTTGGCTGTCAATCGTTGCAGTGATCTGCCAGTGTTGTGCAGTCTGATCTTGTTTTAGACTAAAACGTCGTCATGACAAATGACTCGGCCTCAACATAGGGGTTTACTTTAATAGTCCATCAACGACGCAAGATCATGATCAAATCAGCCGACAATTCAACATCATCTCGAGCCAAGTTGACAAAAACAGCATCTTCATCGAACTAGATACTCAAGAGCGCAACTTGCTAATCTTGAAATCACATCATTGCGTATACGCAAAGTCAATCCTCAATTCCCCGATTTGGATTCGATACCGAACGCACCAATCAAGACCCGCCAACTTACCGTTAACGGAAATCCTACAACATGGCCGAAGCTGCAGCACACAACTTTCCCCCCGTCTCTAGCGAGGTCGTCAACTTGGCGATTGCGGAGCTAGTTCTCTATGGCCTCATGTTCCCTTCCGCAGTATGGATCACCTGGAAGCACGGAAAGAAGGGCATGGTATGCTGGCCTATCTTTGTCTCTCACTTCGGAATGAGATTCATTGCCGATATCTACCAAGTCATCAAACGAGACGAGCCATTGCTTCCAAACCAGTTCAACATTATGACTAGCGCCGGTAGTTTGGCTTGCTTGTCACTGACCTTGATTGGCATTGTTTACGAGGCGTAAGGGAATCCGTCAATACCTGGGGTCGATAAGAAAGATTGACTCACGTGTGTTCTATAGCAACATCATCCTGCCCGGATCACCGAAGCGATGGACCGAAAAGATTATCTTGGGCGTCACCCATCTCATGAACACTGCGGGTATCGGCATGGCAACCTACGGAGGATCCCCCAGTCACGAAGGCGGCCTTATCAACAATAGCTTGAACCAAATCGGTAACTGCTTGGAGCTCTTCGTCATGTTCGCCGTCTGCGCCTGGCTGTGGCCCACCTACAAGAAAATCCGATCTTCGTCCAGCCCCAACTGCCGCCCCGCGATGCTCATGATCCGCGCTGCTGTCGTCGGCTTGCCGTTCCAGCTGATCCACCTGGCTTACACCACGACCTACGCCTTCAACCAGATCTCCAGCCTCGACCCCATCATGGGATCTTTCGCGACGAAGCTTGTTCTGATTTTCGGCACATACCTTGGTGTCACAATCGCCATGCTCGCAGGAGGCTGGCTCAGCATGAGCGCCGACATGCCCAAGGCCGTGCAGGTAGAACTCACCCCTACCGATGTCGAAGGCAACAACAATCTTGTGCGTGACGACATTCCTTTGACCCGGGACTGGAGCAGGGACGACATTGCCAGAGCGAAGCAGGGCTTCGTCTAAAGCATCAAAAGCTTGGCGTTCGTCGTTTCCTTTGGACTTTTCTGAGAGATTATTTTCCATTGCATTGCGTAGCGAAAGAAAACGAACCAACGGGTCAGGAGACTGACGACTTTTCGGGCCTTAGGAAGAAGAAGATTCAGCTCAGACCGGAAGATTCCGACTTGGAGGACGAACCCGATCGAGGAAGGGAGCTAGGGCCTGGGAGACTTCTATCAACGACAACAGGGATTAGTGCTTTGAGGCAGGACGTGCAGGACACGGGAAACTGCACTCGAGTGCCGGATAGGTCTGGTTTTGGGTTTGGTATTTGGATTGGATGGTGGAATTTCCAGACAACTTCTTTCCCGGTTGATTTTACGTTTGATGGTCTTCAGTGTCGTTTTCCTCTTCCGCATATAGAGTGTATCATAAATCCTTTTTTTAGCGCCTTGACTGCTCAAATCGGTTTCAACGGTATGATTTCATTGGAACCTTGATCTGTGACTTGGGGACAACAGATATGGAACAATCCCCTGGACAGAGGGGCACGTAAGTCTTTCGACATTGGGTAACAAGAAAACGCACCTGTGTCAAGGATTGTCAAAGTAGTCTCCTTTGGCATGGTTGCAATCGAAGATGATGCACCCAAGATAGCTGATATTCGGAGGCACTTACAAAACATGTCTTACGATTCCACAGCGCATCAGCCGAAGGCAAGGCGCCTTGACCTAGTCCTCTTTGCGCACTATGGACACTAAGATTAAGCTAAAATTCAATCAGGATTTATTCTTCTAGATAAGGTACTTCATGTAAGTTGTTCTAATGCGACTGCTTATTGCTCGGCTAACTTGAGCAAGAGGCTCAATCGGCCTAACCAGAACTGTAGGAAGGCTCAACTCCAATTTCGTTTTCTTGAATAACGTTGTAGAAGAGCGTGGAGTCTTGTTATTCTGTCCTTGATTCAGTATTCTTGCGAAGATTGTACGCTGAATTCATAGTTGCACGTAATTCTCGTTAGTAGTTCGGTACTGGTATGTTTGCAATGTCTCTCGCGAGTCGTTCACTGTGGACAGTATCCAGGAACCCCGTCTCTGATCCCCACTCAACCCCTTCACCTTGTTGTCCAAGTCACCTTGCTATCAAACATACAGAGCTCTGTGTATGTGTACCATTTAGTCTTGTCTTATTCGCACAGGCTCTTCTTGGAGTATCTTCTTCCCTGCCACCTTATATGATATGAGCCACAGAAGAAGAATGACAGCAAATTGTGAAAGAAGCATGTAAGGAAACACATGGAGCCCCGCCACCTGGGTGATAGCGCCGAGCATATATGGAAGTATGGCGCCGCCGACTTGGCCGAGGGAAGCAACAAACGATACCGCACCAACATGAAGCTCTTTTGGTAGGTAATGAACAAATTCGACGATGCAAGAGGGGAATAGCGGGCCCATAACGAAGCCGAGCAGTGCCATCGAAAGTACCGAGACCCACAGAACCTGCACTATCATGAAAAGCACCACAATGGCGGGAGCAAGTGCCAAGTAGATGATGACTGCCCGTCTTGGGGTCAACTTCTCTGTGACTGCACCCAAAGCTAGTCGTCCAATCGCCATGCCTGCCCAGAAGCCAGAAGAGCAAATACTGGATGCATAAGTGCTGGTATGGCGGACGCGGAGCATGAATGTGACAACCCAGCCGGAAACAGTGCACTCAGTGCCCACGTATGCCAGAAGGTAAGCGGCGTATATCCAGGTCGCGCTGTATCGGAAGATGGCTCGTTGATCTACTCCATCTTCAGGGTTTCCCTGCTTCTTCTTGTTCTCATGGTACTTCGCTGCAGTCTCGTATCTGAACGCCAGGGGCAGAAAGACCACTTCTACAGCAGATGCAATAGTCTGAAAGCGTGTTAGTAGCCAACCATGAAAGATTCCAAGCCTTGTCCAGGTTCCTTCCACAGAAACTTACCAGCACATAGAACCACTGATACCACTGTCCATTATTCGTAGACAACATAATCCCTGCTAGGTAGGGGCAAGTCGCAGCTCCAATCGAGAATGAGCCATGCAAAAGACCCGATAGGGTATTTGCGTTATTCAGTGCAGCAACCCAAGCACACCAGGATCCATCGACTATGCCAACTCCGAAGGAACCTACAGTGACTCCCAGAAGGAATACTGGAAAACGTGGATGGAAGGAGCCTACTGCGGCGTAGGCCAGATGGCATGCGGGACCTATGAAAGCAATTCCGCGTTGCCCGAGTTTCTCATGGATGCGACTGTTGAGAAGAGATGCCAAGCAGTAGCCGACTGGTCCAACGAGAAAGATGGCAGAGACTTGAATTTCGTTGAGCTGGTAATATGTTTGCTGGTGCGGTAGCGTCACTCCAATTGTAGCCACGAAAAGGCCTGCGACTACGAAAGAGTAAGCTGCCGCGGCAAGCTTCAATGCGATGGCTTCTCGGTCTTGTCCGTTGATGGATGATGTTGGCTCGATATTCGAATCTGCACTTCTAGTGCCAAGCAACCGTTCAGATTCTGTTGCACCATTGAAATCAGATGATGAAGTGGGAGGTGCCATGATTCGTGCTGTTGGGGTCGCTGTGAACGAAGAGCAAAAGTAAGTAGCTCCCTTGACTATGACATTGGGGTAAGTTGACGGCTTGAAATGGAGGGTGTCAGTGATTATTAACGGCTTCAGGGCTCGAGAGCTGAGTCGGCAAAGCTTCGGATGATCATCCAGATGTTGCCTTTTTAGGAACATGTTCCAGCTCGGATGGGCCCTTGCGCTTCGTAACAAGGTTTAACAATAAAGTGTTGGCGCTTGTTGTCTTTTGCTTACTGCGTAGAACCAACTTCAAAGCTTCAGTTTGACACGATGATTAGCTTCAACGTTCTACCGCAGACATCTTCTGAATTTAGGATGTAGAACAAGCATCATGTAGCTATGTTAACCGACTCCAGACACCGTACCCTCGATCTTGATCAACTCAAATTTGCTAGCTGGGGTAAGGCATGTAGTATTTCCAATAAGCCAGTCCGCTCAACATAAAATAGCCAGGTAATAGCGCTTAGAATCCCGATTGAAAGTATGAACAATCACTTTTATTCCACCTCATGGAGAGGGACAAAGGGAGAACATCATGTTCGGGTCTCAGAATTGCATTAATTCGGCGCCAATATTTCTACTCCCGACGGGTCCAACGGATGAGCCCAGGTTGAACTGGACGCGCAAACATGGACGTGTGATCCGTCGGCGGCACGATGCCTGTACTTCCATCTATGGTGCCCAGTTTGAAGTTGCGCACGATAGTGCCGACAATAACACCTAGATTCAAGTATGCAAATTTCTCGCCAATGCAGCGGTGTCGCCCTGCCCCGAACGGGATGTAAGGACTCCTAGTACCCTTGGAAACTGCGCCATAGCCGTAGTCTACAACATCATTGGCATCAACGATGCTCTCGCTAGGCTGTAGCTCATCCCACCGATGAGGATTCCAGGACTTTGCGTCCGGGAAGTATTCGTCGCTTATGGCAGTCACCATTGGCGAGGCCAGCAGCACTTTGTCAGTGCCGACCACGTAAGGACTTCCGGGAATGGCCAGAGGGTTCATAACCTTGCGGAGAATGGAGTGGATGGAACCATGTAGGCGAAGCGTCTCCTTCACGACATTGTGTAGAAGCGGCAGCTTGTCTAGATCGCAATATTGCATTGGCGAGAGTCGACTTTCGTCTCCATGGCCAAGATTCAGTATCTGCTCTTGATAAAGCTCTTCTGCAACGTCGGGATGTGCGGCTAAACGATGCATGATCCATGCACTGGCTGAAGATGACGAGTGTTGACCTCCCATGAGGAGCGTGATCATCATGCACGCAACCTCTTTATCTGGCACCGGTGTTCCATCCTTGTAGTTCGAGTTCATGAGGTTCCAGAGCATGTCGTACTCGTCGTCGGACTCGAGACCGTTCTTACGACGTTGGATGATGATATCCTCGTATACGTCTCGCATCTTGTTGTGGGCAGCATCGCGACGTCGGTTTCGGGGTAGAGGTAGCCAAGGAAAGAGGAAGTTGACTGGGGTGAAGCCCTAGGCGGCCAGGCTGTTAGTATCATACTTGAATCTAGAGAAGCCAAATATCAACGGGGGGATACGGGGCACCTACCATGTCAAGATCATGGTACAAGCCCGCGAACTCAGCCGTCAGCTTTTGCCTGACCTCTTCTCCCTGCAACGAGCGCGCTGCTGTGAATAATGTGATCTCAGACATGGCGGCAGAGATATCAACAACACCCGATGACCCCTTCCATGCAGGGCTCATCTTGATATAATCCACCACTTCCTTCTCAATCAACGGAACATGAGATTCCAGAGCCTTTTGTGTAAGTCCAAACTTAACAAACTTCTTCTGTTCCATGAGCTTGGAATTAGGGCAGTCGTAAATGACATCTTTTCCGAACACGGGAATCGTGAGCGGTCCGTAAATCTCCTCGGCGTTGATGTCCTGAAGCTTTCCATTGAGAATAAAGTCGTTGCCCTCGATTCCCAGATAGCAGGTCATTTTCCTGCCAAAAAGGGTGAAAGTGAAGACATCACCGTACTGACTAAAGGTTAGCGAAATGAAAGCTTATAGCTCATGTTGCTCCTGCGCGAGTCTTTGGTAGGCTATACCTTCGCACGGTACTTGACGAAGAACCCTACAGGATCCATGCCATAGGAAACAGCATTGCCAATGTAAGGAATCCAATGGAAAACAGCTGGCGGTTCGCTCTTGGCGTGGAAAAGCGTCTGACGGCAGGCATTAATCAGAATCGATGCCACTAATCCGATGAGGCCACAAAAGGCAATGGGTGCCAAACTCGACAGGCCCAAGACCTTAATAGAGTCTGACATTTCAGCGGCTAGGTTTTGTCAATATTCTGTAGAATGATAAACAAAATCTCCAAGTAAGAAGAGGATAAGGACTGCGTCTGGGCCAACACAACATAAGTCGAGTAGACATTTCAATAGCTCGGTCAGGAAAGAC